AGGCGCATTGGGCAAATCTGGCCTAGGAAGAGTAATTCCTACAGGCCGCTTTTTTCTTTTTCTTACCTTCGAACTCTTTGACAACCACATGCTGTGGCCAGGTTTAAGCAGAGCATAGAGTGCCAATTTATCTTGAAAGAAGAAATGTTCCTAGGATAGGAAAATTTAAATTTTTTCACCTTAATTTTTTCTCTATCGACTTTTACTTTGCTTTGGATAAAAGCTATGACATCTTCCGATGTCTGATTAAGGGAAAGCCGCGAATTGCCATAAGGTGTTTTGGCAAGGCAGACTGACCCACCATACCACTTTCGGCCGGTAGTCCGGGCCTGATACTCTGGCAGGGACTTGGACTAGGGCTCTGAGACAAAACGGAAGTGGGTAACACCGAGGGCACGGTCTCACCCGCGACACATTCGGATACCGAATCTTTTTTAGCACTTGATCTCAGGATTCTTGGAATTTGTCCTGGGGTCGGGGGCTGAGTCGAGGGAGGCTGCTGTTGAGAGCCTACCACTGCACTATGGGGTTTTTGACCACTTTTTGTGGCATTTAATCATTTTTTAAAAGCAACAGAGCTGTAAATTCAGCTGTTGCATCCGAAAGCACGTCTGCTAAGTTTGCAATTTTGACGAAGTGATCTTTGAAATTAAACTATTCGTGTAAGACATAATTTGCAAAGGAAAAAACTAATGGACACTGATTTCACAGGTTTTAACTATATGTTAAATGTATTAATTGTTTAAATTGTGCGTGTTTATACTGACATTTTGTCATTTTATAAATGCACCTTAAGCTGAATTTTGAGAAACAAATTTCAACTTTGGGAAGAGTTTTGAAATATAAGTTCGCATTAGTTTTTAATGCGTCCAAGTGTATGTTGTAGCGTTGTCAATTCTGAGCAAAAAGCAGTTAGTCTTATCGTGCACTTTTCCGCACTATTGGTGCAATTTGAATTTTTCTTAGATAACCTCACTGTTTTCAACGCCAATTTGGTAGCTGTTTGTATGGAAAAACACTGATTTCCGCTATTTTGGTTATTTTAGTTCCTAGGGAAAACGTTATTCGATTAAGTTCAAAATTGCTATATCGCATTAGAAGAGCATCAGATTTCAGCTCCTTAAATTTCATTACTTTATCTTAAGTTTTACCCGATCGTTTCTATGGGAGCTATAGGATATAGTTTCCTGATCTGAGCGATTTTCATACTATATGTGCCTAGGGACAAATAATGCTGATTGGTAAAGTTTCATGTCGATATCTCCAAAACTGACCGAGTTATTAATTAATGCCACAAAAACTGGTCAAAAACCCCATAGTGCACTGGTGGCTGGGATGCTGCACACCAGTTGCGGTTTTTTTGCGCCTAGGAGACTTATTTAATAGCTTGGGGCTATTACATTGAGTATCCAGCGCCAAGAGCATATCTTGAGTTTTGCGGAAACTCAATAATACCTCTTTAAAACCGCCCTTGGTTTGCCGCATAAAAGACATCATTTCCTCGCGGCAGGCCTAACAGCAGTAGCGGACGCCGATATTCTTGGCCACATCATCTACTGTCCGTGCAGTAATACCAATGCACTTGGGATGCACTATATTATCACACAGCCAACAGGTTACGGTGAGTTCGCCTTAATATATTTTATTTTTACAGGATTTAGCGAAGCAGACCAAATTACCAGACATCTTAGTGACTTACCACTGTACTTCGATAATTAAGAGAGGGCGTAAGGGTTTAAGTGCAGCGGCACTGGAAGAGCAGGAGAGCACAAAATTGGGAGAGCGAGAGTTAAGCACTGAACTAAGAACCGTTTATAGCTGTCGGGACGACGCAAACAACAACAAACGCAATAGGCACAAAAGCGAATGCAAAAAAAAAATGCAAAGCAACCACAGCAGCCCAAACTAAAATCTAATATAAAATGAATTAAACAACACAAACAGATAAATTGCATGCACACGAGAAGTGAACGGGAGCTATTAAAAAACACTAAATATGAATTCTTAATGAACCCCGGTGGTTTTTAGGCAAAATTCTACACAAATCGGGAGCGCAAGAAAAAAACACGTCCGTTCACTTTGAAGGAAGAATTATTATCTGTACTCAATAGCATCTAATTTCGTACTTTGAACGTAGATATCCTTCCTAAACTAAAAGTTTTAATTATAACCCATATTGCACGCATGCAAGCTAACAACCAGGCAGCACGCCAGTAATTATTTCCTCGCATTCTTTTCCTTGTTTACTCCTTCGCACTTACTAACACTTAACAAACAAGCATGGGCTTGGATTCAAAAGCCTAGTACTCTGATGACGAAAATCCGCTGTATAAATTAATACAGCAGAATCGCTGTTTATTTGGCTCGGTAACCAGTGTGACCAAAAAAATAAAGGAAAAGCAATGAAACGCCATGAAAATGTACCATTTATGGCGTTTAAGGCTTTTCTTTGGTCACACTGGACAGCTGTTTGTAAAAAAATATTAAAAAAAAAAATTTTTAATATTAATATAAATGGCATAGAAATGTTCTTTGTGGGTTAAATTCCATATTATGGGCTTCGCCTTGACAGCTCCTATCAATGCCACTTTTTTCCTTCAACTTTCCCTCCATTAGGGGTGTATAAATAAATCAAATGAATTCTTTATACAGCGCGATATCAGCTGTTTACTATCTTGATCTGGCAACACCATTCAGTTTTCGCAGGTATCATTTTCGTCGTCAGAGTACCAGCAAAATGTTTTTTTTTATATGGAGTTTGGCCGCTGTATTAATTTATACAGCGGATTTTCATCCTCAGAGTACTATGCTAAAGGGCCACTTGAGTATGCTGATCTTAGCCCATCAACGTCCTGAAGCAAACCACGTTATGGGATCATAATATGGAAAGAGATCTTGTTTTCTGCAAGATAATACAACTTTTCGCCATGTCAGAGAGATCACCATATAAGAGTTTTGTATTGGCCAGCGTATTTATATTATATTATTAACATTTCAAAATTAAAAATAACCTTTCAATTTTACATTGATAATTTTCTTAAAAACTACGAAATAATAAACAAACTTTTTTAATTTTTTTTTGTATTTCTCTGACCAAGTTAGGAAACAAAAAACACATAGTCGGTCGCATCTTAATACTAAGACTTAAAACTAAAAAAAAATACATTTTGATGTAACGAAATATTTTATTATTTAGAGAATCTCACAACCCTTAATAGTGAAATGTTTGGTCAAAAGTATTCTATAAAACAATACTTACCCACAAATTAAGGGGGTCTTCTCATTGGGCAATTTTTTTTTTTCGATTTTTTTTGTTTGCATTTATTGATAGCTTGGGATGGTGTGTATATGTCCCCAAAAGGATTTTTAGAAATTCGAAATACTTTAGAAGATACAGCCTTTTTTGTGAAGCAAGATCTGAGCTTTTTTCAAACTTCAAACGCGTTTATCTCGAAACCACGTTTTTCGAACTGGCGGCCATGATATCTACAGTTCAACTGAACCGATTTTCATGAAACAAAGTGGAATCGACGCAGAATTGTCACCATTTTCGGCTGACGGAACAGATTTAAAAAAAAAATTTTTTTTTTTTTTTTTTTACACTAAACTACAAAAAAAAATCGAAATCGAATTTTTTTTTTAATGACCGCCATTTTGTTTTAAAAATTTAAAAAAAAAATGTTCCGTCAGCCGAAAATGACATCTATTCTGATTATAACCCCGTTTTTATTTTTCATTTCGGACGCTCTGGAGACCCTGAATCATGGCCGCCAGGACGACACCTTTTTTTTGACCACCAAGTTTGAAGTCTCATTACTCTTTGAACAACCCTCGTATCGAGGCAAGAACAACTTTTTTAGTTACTTTGAACATTTTTGAATACAATAAATAAAAAAAGTTTTCAATTATTCTTTGCGTTTTCAAATAAGAATTTTTTTAAAAAGGGTCCAATAAACGGCTTTTGAATGAGAAGACCCCCTTAAGTATTTTAAGGTTGCAACGGCTCAAGGCTGCTTTATTAATCATTAATATAATTTTTATTTATTATTATAATTATAAGAATAAAATATTAAGTAAATCGAACAAATTGGCAGGTGTCGTATAGCTTTGATAGAGTTTTTGGCAGGACAAAAACTAGATTTTTGTAATTTTTTACCACTACTTGAAAACGCGAGATCTTATCAGGTATAAATCAGGAAATCATATTATAAGCAGAATTAATTAAGCTCCAATTCTAAAGTATTGATTTTGTTGTAATATGCTTCCCGATTTTCCTACGAGGGTAGAAAGTAGGATATTTGGGGTAGGAATGTAAAGAAATTGTGATTATTTTATCGAACGAATGTTCAAATCGGGATAAAATTTCCAAATTTAATTTCAAAGAGGCATGCTTTCGAGCTAATCTCGGATTTACCGAACTTGAGGATGAGTTAAGTTCATCCCTTAAATCTGAAACATTTTTGTGCTAAAAATGTTTTCTTTAAGATGGAGTTGGCTTCAAATAAATTTTAAAAAAGACATTTAATCCTTCTTACACCGACCATTAATTTTTAATTCTAAGCTCTATTTAATTAAGAATTGTGTTTTCATAGAAAATTTTAAGTAAATCTTATTAAAAACAACTTCTTGTATCCCGGTCAAGATTTGAATTCAGAATTCACTGACAGCTCGCTTATCAACTAGGCCACTATGGGTATTCAAATATAAATGTCGAAAATGCAAATACATACAATTTCAAAAATAGAGCAAAGAAATATGTATCTCTTTCTTTCTCCTTCTTTCTGAGCTGAAAAGAGATCTTTCAAGAATTCGCATGCTTGGATCAAGGTAATTTTTTTTTTTTTTTTTTTTTTATATATCTTGGTATCTATTTTGTCATTCCGAATTGTAAAAAAAAAAGCTTTAGTGAAACCAAGTTAGCTATTAGTAGTCTAGAAAGTTTATCACATTGTACTAGTGTTTAAAAATAACTTACACACCAAACTAAGTAAACGCTGCAGCACCTGTCACACCGAGATTTCCTGCCACACAGTGTGAACTATTCAAGGCTTTCACTCGTAAGGTAAACACTTTCGGCATCAGTTCGTTTCGAAATCAGAAAACAAAAATTATAATAATTTCTAAAACAATTCCCAGAGTTTTTAAACTAGAATTTATAGGGATCTGAAGCCGGTGCTATTAAGTCCATCAGCCAAAATGTCTATGACCCGAGTCATTAGGAGCACCTCTCTGCTTCTCTCCCAGCCCCGTATTCTGATTCCCTTGCAAATACTGCGGGAAAAGGCTGACTACGGAAAAACCGTGAGCAATCTTAAGATCAATAAGGAAACAAAGCTTCTGGTGCAAGGTTTTACTGGCAAGCAGGCCACCTTTCATTCGGAGGCAGCACTCAAATACGGCACAAAAGTCGTGGGTGGAGTCTCTCCCAAAAAGGGTGGCACAGAACATCTGGGCAAGTCCGTGTTCGCCTCGGTCTCGGAAGCGGTAGATGCGGTAAAGCCAGATGCCACTGTAATCTTCATACCACCACCTACCGCTGCCGAAGGTATTTGTGAGGCGATCGAGAGCGAGATCGGCCTAATCGTCGCTATTACCGAGGGCATACCGCAGACGGATATGGTTCGCATTATGCAGATGCTGCACTCACAAGAGAAGAGTCGGTTGCTGGGTCCGAACTGTCCAGGTATAATCTCACCGGACCAATGCAAGATCGGAATCATGCCAGGGGATATCCACAAAAGAGGCTCCGTGGGCATTGTTTCTAGGTCGGGAACGCTAACCTATGAGTCGGTGCAGCAGACCACCAAGTGTAGTAGCCAAGAGGCAGGTGCTCACTAGATACTGTGGGTTTTCCAGTGTACAATCGGATCGGTATGTGTGCACTTCTTGCTATGCTCGGTTCAAAGCTCGTCGGATATGTCGTGGACCTTCCTCACCGATTATAAGTCACACCCTTTCACTACTGTAATAAAAGTTTAAGTGCACATTCTGTAAACTAAATGATTGATCAACGGTTGAATTAATCGGACGTACGGACGGACCCTAAAGAGTAGGTATAAGAGAGGAACACTCGCGTTGTGGGTGGCTGAGGTGTCGTTCGCCCCCACGTCTTTACCCTCCCTGCCGTGGTAAACTCCGATAATTAAGTGTTACCCCTTAACTAAGTTCATCTTTCCGATCTTAGCTCATTCTAAAGTAATTCGACATCCACTTGCTGTATTAACATAGACCAAAAATATACGTTTTTACTCCATTATTATTTCGTTAAACTTCAGGATAATTCATAATTCTGTCTCTTACAATTATTCATCATTTTCTTAACCTCTCTAGTCCCTAGCTATTTATCTCTACGTTAATTGAAATTTATATAAACAAACGCGTAAATGTGCGGCTCGCTTAGGATCCCGTTTAAATTATACATACGATCGATATATATTTACAGAATAAATCAAATATGCGGCCTTTGTGCCGATTTACTTTCGATATATTGACTTACGCTCAGATCCTCCGTTGCTGGTTCGTTGGGCCCATCGAAGTTGCAGGTGCTGATGGCTGTTAGTTGGAAAGTTCAGAAACGATATTTAAATGGGACGCTCGCGTTCGCATTCACATATTACGCTAAACGGCAGAAAAGCAACAACAATATCAATTTCTTTCTAGCTAACGTTACGCATTACTCTAAATTTAATCGATCTCAAAACTTCTCCACATCCTTCGGGTTACTGGAATCATCCAGCGGGAGCGCGCTGCTCGCCGCGACGCGCCTCCAACTTCTTCGACAGGTCACATGCCTGCCGCGCAAGCGAGCTCTCTATCCGGCTGCGCCTGCTCCAGCCTAGTCTCCGCTCAGCTACCTTAGCTGCACCTCCACTGTTCCTACTGGATTATGCTCGAAAAGGTAATGCTTAGCCGCTGTCCATACAGTCGAATCGCCTTAGGCTGCACGAGGCCGGTTACATAACTCCGAGAACTCAGACACAGGCCGCCTCTGGTCTGACTCTTGGAGATTTCTCGCTCCCGGTTTAGTGCGGTCGCACTCGGATCGCTATAGCTCCTTGGCAGCCGACGTGGCGAAGCAGAGGTTCCCAAAAAGTAGGGTTACGCGCACGTGCTGCGTTGGCCGCACGTCGACGTCTCTGCCGCTGTAGGGCCTCCGAAAAGTTAGGTTATGGCCGCTCGGTCGCACAGCGTTGGGCTGCACGTCGACGTCGCTGCCGCCGTAGGGCTTCCAAAGAGTAAGGTTATGGCCGCTCGGTTGCACCGCGCCGCCTTGTTCGCTGATCGCCCACTTTTGCCGCGTGTGGCTGCCACGCCGGCGATACGTCCACGCCTAGCGAAGGACGTAAGAGCCGTCGCCTAGCGTCAAACTAGCCCTGCACAACAAAAGGGTTAACTAAACTATAGACTCTGCCGTTCCGTGGTTAATATTTACCCGTTCTCACTCGTGCACAACTCTTATTAGGTTTTGCCACTGGTCTCTTGCTGGCACTTTACTATTAATTCGATTGAAACTGTACAATCCACGTGCCGGAATTATTATAGTAAAAATGATCTACGATGCGTGTGCTTTGCTCTGGTTTTCAATTTCAAGTGAGCGAGCGTCACAAAATTTCTCTACACGCAGCGTGCCTTGCATAGCAAACGAGCCAAAAGCTACGGGACTTTTCCCAAATCCTCTCTCGCGCTCTCGATGCTCGCGAGCGAAGGACTGGAGGAAGGAAAAATAAGCAAAAAATCGTACGATTTCGCTGGCGCTGCGAATGCAGGTAGAAGAAAAACGGCATGTTCTGGAAGGCGCTACCCTACACTCTAGTCGCGGCATATGCGTTTCGATGGGTCGGTTCTATCATTTAAACTTACGATTATACTTATTTATATTTTCCTATTTGTTTTCTCTGCCCTTACCCTCTGACCCCTACACCACAGTTAACTCGTCGAGAGTCCTACTCGAAGAGGTTTTAACTGAAAAAAGGTCAGACAAGGATCGTTCTAGCTCTTTATGTCTTTCAGGTGATACACCCCTAAGGATTTCCCGACATCGTTTTCTAATTCATAGTAAATATGGCTAAGCTTCTTAGTAACTGTCGCTTTCATAAAGACTGGAGCCAGCTTACTGTTGAACTGTTTAGCCGCATTGCTTTGCGCAAAACTGCGGGCATACACAGTGTCACCGACTTTAAAACATGCTGAACGCGAGCGCAAATTATAAACTCTTGTCTTCATGCGTTTCCTTAATTTTCTTCTGCGCTTGACTACGTGCTAGCTGCATGACATCAGGCGTTTTCAACAAAGTATCATCCTGTAACGACTTAATGTTTCTTAGTAATTCATAGTCCTTTCCGTTCATGATCATATTTTGACCAAAACACAAATAATAAGGTGAAAATCCGGTGCTACGATGATTGTTCGCTCTTAAAGATGCGCTAATTTCGTCTATATTCCTATCCCAATCGGTATGATCAGTCCCGATATAAGGTCTTATGGCTGCCAGTACGGATCTATTTACTCGCTCGCTCGCGTTGGCTTGGGGAGAGTAAATGGCTGTACACACATGTGCTACGCCGAATCGCGTTAGAAAAGCCTTAAAATATCCAGATTTAAACTGTGATCCGTTGTCCGTTAGTATGGATTCCGGAACTCCGAATGTACAGAAGACGTATTTCACCAAAAAGTCGCAAATTCTATCAGAAGTAAACTTTCGCAATGGGTGCAAGAAGTGAAACTTCGTGAAGTGATCGACGATAATAAGCAGACCTATGTTACCGCTCTTGGATCGCGGATATGGTCCTAAGAGATCCATATAAAGTTTCTGAAACGGTCTTTGGGAAGTTGTTGGATTCCCCATGGGTGGTCTTAAGATTTGATTAGGACTTTTGGTCGACTTGCAAATGCAACAGTTAGCTACGTAATCACGGATTTGGGTCACCATCCCAGGCCAAAATAAATAACGCTTCAATTTCTCAATCATTTTGGACATGCCTACATGAGCTGAATCTGGGGCATCGTGTGCTCGGTACAAGATAGCGTTTCGTAAGGCTGTCGGGACCAAGAGCTTCCAAGCATCCGCTGCTGGTAGTGCGTCTCCCTTTGCAATTTCTGTTCGTTTGTATACAAATTTACCCGATATTTTCAGATCAGGCAATCTTGCTTGATTTGTTTGGATTTGGTCGATCAGGCTTAGGTATTCCTCCGAATCGAATTCGCTAGATGACAAATCAATGATTGGGCCTGCGTCTGTGACTTCCTCTAGGTTAGATTCTTCACGACGCGACAACGCATCCGCAACTACGTTCTGCGAGCCGCTTCTGTGCTTTATACTGAATGAGAAACCCTGCAACTGGATTGACCATCTAGCCAATCGTCCTGACAGGTCTTTCTGCTTCATCAGCCACTGTAAGGATGCGTGATCTGTCACTACACAAAATTCCTGCCCCTCTATATAACCACGAAACTTTTTAATCCCTCTAATCACTGCTAAGCACTCTAGTTCGGTCACAGAATAGTTTCGCTGTGCTTTCGTTAGCTTCTCTGACATGTACGCTATTGGTAACTCAACGCCGTCTTCATTTTCTTGGGCTAATACGCATCCAAGCCCATACAGACTAGCATCGCAAAGCAATATGAACTTATTATGAAAATCTGGGGTTCGTAACACAGGTGAGGAGGTTAGTTTCGCCTTCACTAACTTGAATGCCTCTTCAGCTTCCGGATCCCAGCTAAACTTACGGTTCTTCTTAAGCAATTCTGTGAGTGGTAAGGTGATCGTAGCATAATTGTCTACGAATCGCCTATACCAGCCTGCTAGTCCTAAGAACCTCCGAAGTTGTTTGACTGTCGTCGGGATCGGAAATGTGTCGATTGCGCTAACCTTGCCTGGATCGACTTTGATCTGTCCATATCCTATGATAAAGCCTAAGTATTTAATCTCGGTCATACAAAATTTCGACTTCGCTATGTTAATAGTTAAATTAGCTTAACTTCATCGCGATTTCTTCTAACAACACCATGTGGGACTCGAAATCTTCCGACAGAATTAATAAATCGTCTAGGTATACGAATACCCTAGTGCGCAAATGTGTTGGTATCACGGCGTCCATCAGTCTGCATAGTGTTTGTGCTGCGTTACACAGGCCGAACGGCATTACTTTGTACTGATACAAAGGCCTGTTGGGGATCGTGAACGCTGTACACTGCCTGGACTTCTCCTCGAGTGGAATCTGCCAGAATGCGTGTTTCATATCGAGACCCGTTATGTAACGCGCTGGTGGCAATCTGCTAAGGATTCCGTCTACATGAGGGAGTGGATAGGCGTCTTTTATGGTTAGCTTGTTCACCTCCCTGGAGTCCAAACATAACCGAACTTTGTCCTCTCTTCACCAGCACGCAGTTACTGCTCCACGGGCTTCGAGATTCTTCGATCACGCCTAACGCTAACATATTCTCTACTTCGGCAAACATAAGTTTCTCCTTCGCTGGTGAGATGGGCCAATGCCTCTGTTTTACCGGCTTCGCTTGACCTACGTCTATGGAATGTTCAATTAGTTGAGTTCGACCTAATCCTTCTGACTCGTAAGAGGGAAGCTTAGAGATTACAGTCTCTAGCCTCTTTTGTTGCTCGATCGAAAGAACATGAGTTTTCGGGCTATCGTCCGGATCTTCGTCTCGCCCTACGTCAAGTTCAGCTACGCTTCCGGTCTCTTCCATTATTTTGGACAACAGACCGAAGTCTCGCCAGAAATCAACTCCCAGATATTTATTTATGTATTTAATGCTAACTAATAGTTATAAACTAAAAGTTAACAAAGGT